GGTCTGTAGACTGTGGGCTCCTGAAGTTCATCTGTCTGGGAAAATGCCATCAGTGGAAGCAACTCCTGCTCTGGTGCCAGCCCACATAAATGCCTGACAGCACAGGAGCCTCCAGCCTTGCTGGCTCTTCAGGTACTGCATGCAGCTGAAACCTTCTGGTTTCCTAGACTGTGGATTCAGAGGAGTGCTTCCTGCAGCTTCATTTCTCTCACCTCTTCTAACATAATCTGCCAATCCTTCGACTCCACTACCTTTCCCCCTGCTAGTATGTCTGCTTTCCTAGTCACAATCCCAGATGCCTTCTTTCCATTTTGCTCCAGCAGAATTCCAGAGACTGACCCTGACCTCCATGCTCTTGCTCATCACCCCGTTTCCTACCCAGCTCTCACAAATTAGAAGCTCAGTTCTGTGTCCTCAGCCACCCCACCTTACACCCCTGAAAGGACTGCAACCAGCTATGGATAGTGGTGACACCACCTAGCAATGACGGTATGGATGGGCACTCCCAACATGCCCTTATATGCATAGTGGGCGATGTCTTTGCTGTCAGCACCCAACATCAATTTGTGCCCATAGTGTCGGACCCTCTCCTATAGCCTGTTAGTCTACATCTTCCAAGACTCTCCTGGAACAGTCTGTTATACTGTACTCTCTTCACTTGCAAATATTTGGGTTTCCCAAATATTTGTGAGAAGAGATGGCCCTGGGACAAAAGGAAGCATGTATTAAATACCTTTTCAGTGAGACAACTGGTAAGATAAATGGCCAAATACCTCAATTTGCATTTTTCAAGAACTTGATGCCCTGAGAAATGCTACCTGGAAAAGAATGCCTGTTTAGGCATCAAACAAGGACCTAACTGGGAATACTGAAAACAACAGACAAGATCTGTGTTTTTTCTTCTAGTCTTCAATTGCACTTTGCACCAGCCTGTAAGTTGAGAAGATACTGGAACCTGGAATTCAGTTTGTTTCCTTCATGTCTGCAAAGAACCCAAGCTTTTTTCCTCTCCTCCCTGGCTCCTGTAGGCACAATGTTTTTATTGTGATATATGAAAAATCAATGTGGGATAATAATGGAAGGCTGGCGAGGAGGATTATAAACATGCTCAAGTGACTTGCAGCTGGGGTGTAGAAAAACACATACATCACAGTAATTGTTTAGCCTTGTGTGTTTGACAAATAGAACATCTGTGTTTAGATAACACAGGCCTGCCATAGACTTAGAGGCACCCTATCAGACATGCCTGAGATTCCTGCCCTGCTAAGGGAAAGATCAAAGCACAGTGGTAAACTGAGCCTGATACACAGGCAGAAGCAGCAAGTCTGATGATCCTCTAGCATGGACTGAGCTCCGTGGTGCCTACTTCCCTGCCTGGGTGCTGCTTTGGGGATCCCCTGGTTGGTGAGGTAATGAAGATAAACTTACTCTTTGCATTTCATCCATGTGTTTCTGGCTGTTCTGCATCCTGCCTGTGCTGACTCCCGCAGCCAAGTAGGGAAAACGTGTGATTATAAAAAGTAATACGTAATCTGATGTGATACAATCTACATAAATTGTGGCCTTTGTAAGGAAAAAAAGAAAAACTGGGGGAGGTTTGCATAAGAATCACCCCAGTGAATGCCTATGGTAAGTGGGTAATAACTTTTGCTCTCTTACAGGCTGAGACCAAGCTTTGGCTCTAGGTAGTACATGGTTTATTTGGTAAAAATGAAACCTCAGCTCCCTAATGCAGGAAAGTAGGTACTAGTTTACTAAATTTATTATTCCGGAAATTCCCTTTGAACTATAGGGACACAAACCATTTGGCAGCACCACACAAATTAATCCACACCTGTCAGACACACTCGTTTCTGTTCATTCTTCAGGGGAACTGGAGATACTCAGTTCTATCAAATTAATTCTATCATTCTGGTGCATTAACGGACTGCAAAAGTGGACACAGAGTGGATGTGCACCAGGCTCACTGCGGCACCATCTGTATTTTCATCCCTTTAGAAGACCAGGTAAGTAAAAACTGCTCAGTGGCACACAGAAACTCATAGTTCAGCTAAAGAGCATGGAGTTCAAGCAAACATCTATCTTAGTGGCTTGTTCAAAGGCTGCATTTGCTCCTTTAATTGTGTACAGGGGGCAATAATACCACAAATAAAACTAACAAAACTTCATTATTCTGCCAGAGTTCTGTGGGCAACAAAATACAAACACCTGTTTTTCTGTTCCTTCTTGTGTATTCTCTGCTGTGTTGCACAGTGCACACTGCACTAACATGCTCACTGTAGTTATGGAGTCTTTCTTCTATGTGGATTTTCTTGGTGTCTTAAAAGAGATGAATACTACAGTTTTTCCCTTAGTGAAGGGAAATGAGGTCACCATCATGGTCACTTTTCCTTGAAGCTTTAGTTTCCATGAAACTGAAACTTTATAATTTTGGAATTATTTACTTTCATGCAGATTTCACAAAGAGGCCATAACAGAGCAGAAAAGCCAGTGGGAGAACACTGTCACCCCATGCAATATAACTGTATCACTTTAGTTTTCTGAAGAAACCTTGCTACCTGGCCCACTCTTTCTCCTCAGCCTATGTGGTATGCTCATAGCACTCTGACCAAATGGAGTATGTCTGAAGGATCACTACTGGTCTTGAACATTGTTTGTTTTGTAGCAAGCCTTTCAGAAGTGGAGGGCAGCTCTTCATGGGCCAAGCACTCAGACCTGAGAAGAGTGTCCCTGTCCCTAGAAGATACTTATTCCTCCCAGTCTTCTCCTCTCCGAGGACTGGAAAAAGTTACATTTACTCACAGACGGGCATAGGAAAAGACCGCAGCTGCCTGTGGGATTAGAAAGGCTCAGCTAGGTGGTAGCAGCTAAGTAATTCGCAAGGAAGTCAAGAGCAGCACTAGCATCTAATTGAAACTAGCCAAGAAAAACAGATTTTGGCTGCATAATGATTGCTTAAGGGTTCCTTTAAATCCTGGGAACTCCTTGATTGCTCTGCAAAAACCAGGCCACAGGTGAAATGTCATTACACCTTAGTTTGGGAGTGTAGCTTTGAAAAGTTCGCTGAAGATAGCGGTTACATCTGAAGACATCTGTTAATGCTGAACCTTGCTTTCCTGTGGCTTGTCAGGCAAGGTCTGTTGCAGGTATTTTTAAATGTTGAGTTACATTACAATGTTTGTTGCTGTTTTACTGACTGTGACCCAGAATGGAAGTAGTTTCTTCTGTTGGAAGGATCTTTGCTTTTATAATGCTGTGTCAGAGGAAAACCTGTTGTACAGAGAGCCACATCAAAGCTGAAGAAAGACCTTGTACGTATGGGAAAGAGCCATGGAAATCTTCTCAGTATGGTTGTATTCAAGAAATTTTAATGTAGGTCAAATATTCAAGTTGCTTTAAGTAGTACAGGAATTGTTCTCTTGATGTTTGTTCTTCAGTACAAATCGCATTTAATCTGAAGTTACAACTTCCCAAGTAGTGCAAGCAGTGGAACCAGAGTATGCATACATAGACCTTCAAGAGGAAGAAAATGGAAAGCAGATTTAGGAGGAGCTGTGTTAAATGCTTTTTCTGGTGATCAAGGTGTGGCTTTAAAGCCTTCTCCATTCTTGTCCTTAAACTGACTGCTGAAAGCACTTCTCCTAACCCATTAAGCTTCTGTGCCCTTGATTCAACAGCTAGATTAAGGGTGCCCTGACTGTGAGATGTATGGAGGCTCTGGATTTAAACTGGACAGCAGTAGGCTTTTTCTTTGTTAATTACCAGACCCTCTGCAAGACAAACTCCCTGCCCTCTCTTCAGCCAGGTCTGTGAATCTGCTTCAGGACTGCTGCACTTTTGTGTTTAGTGAATTCAGGTAATGAAAATCACTGCCGACTGACCCTTGTGGCTGCACAGCAAGTTTTCAGGATCCAGCAGGAGCTTGGTGACATCTAGGAAACTGTCGCGTGTCCAAGCTCTCCCTTTGATGTTGGCAAGAGCATTCCTGCTTCTCCTACATACACATCACCTGCTTTTTGCTGCCTGTAAGGCCCTGTACCTCCTCATTCCATCACCTTGTTAGGGTACCTGCTGGCCATGGACTCCCCTAAGGAAGGGGTGTGGGTTGGGGACATGGGAGCCAACGCTGTACCGGGCTTGGAGGGCTGTGTGGAGAGTTTAGTGAGGAAAACTGAGACAAAACTTCAGCGTTAGCCTACTAAGCAAAGTATCTGGTATTAAGTATTTACAGCTGTACTGATTTACCAGACACTTAATGTTCAATATGGTGCTACTCAACCGTGGGGTTTTTGGATGGAGCTGCTGCTTGGACCTGCGGGACACCCCTGCTGCTCCTAAGTGACTCCGGCACTTTGCTCTCGTTTCCAGGAACTCGAAACACACAGGAAAACATCTCCTGCCCGCCTTAATTAGCAGCCATGTTTAAAGGTGGACAAAAGCCCTTGTACTGTTAGAGGCAGCTGAGCGCATAATGTCTGAGGTGCCAGTCATTATTTACCACCGGCAGTTGTGGAAAGGGACTTTCTCTGCAACTGCCGCCAACCTGCAGTGAGGCTACCGGAGCTGACAAAGTGGACTGAAAAGCTTAACTGGGGCGATGAACGTGTCCTCACCTACCTCAGCCACCTTGAAACCACCTTCCCTACCCTCTCCCTTCCCTCCTGCCTTTTATGGGCCGGCTCCAGCCGGTCTGGCTGCCATTGGCTGCTTGGTGAGAGAGGGCGGAGCCAGCCTCTGCGGCGGGGCGGGGCTGGGCGGTGGCGCAGGCGGGTCCTTCCTCCCGCCCGGAGCCTGGGAGCCCGTCGGTTCCACTCGGCACCCGCCTCACCGAGCTGGCCTCGTCAGGCGCGTCTCCTCTCGCCCTCCCCCTGTGCACTGCGCTCTCAAATAAACCTCCCGCTCATCGGTTAACGCGTGTTTAAACTCGGGGTGGGCAGCACTTTTTGGCGCAGGGTTGGCTTGTAAGGGGTGCTGTCCGGTATAGAGAGAAGGTATACTGTGCCAAAATTTGCGGTTCAAAACGGCGTTAACTGGGAAAATACCAGTTGTAGTGGTACATATAGTTGGGTACTATTACAGCAATTGGTAAAAACTACTAAATGAAGGCGTAACAGCTTTGAAAAGGGCTCGTACGGCCCTGGGGGCAAAAGAATGGGGGAAGGGGAGTTACTGTAATTCCCTAGGGTTAGCCAGCAGCGAAATCCAGCCTCTCCTTCAGAGCAGCTCACGGGTGTGCTGATGTCCGATGTCCCCAAACACGATGAGTCTGCGACAAAGCGGAATTTAATCTCGGTATGTAGTGTTAAACATGATGCCAGATACCTGTCTGTGGGAGGGAATGCCTTTCCATGCTCTCCTTTCCTGGGAAGCAGGTTGTCATTGTAATGAAAATCTCTTTTCAGCTTTTCAAAAATCAGTCTGATCACCCTAAACCCAAGCCATCCTGGAAACAGTCTTGTAACAAAGCTGGAAAGTTGTATTTAGTGGAAACTAATGCACTTGGTGTAAATACTGTAAATACTCAGTCCCAGGTAACACTGAAAATCTGTTGATAGGTAAAAATTGTCTCTGGCAATTGTGTCGTTAGCTGGCTGGGGTGGGGGTGCTTGGACAGGGCCCACGTAGCTGCCAAAATCAGAGAATCACAGAATGGTTGGTTTTGAGAAGGGCCTTCAAGATCATCCAGTTCCAACCCCCTGCCACAGGCAGGGACACCTTCCACTAGACCAAGTTGTTTAAGGCCCCGTCCAACCTGGCATTGAACACTGCCAGGGATGGGGCAGCAACAGCTTCTCTAGGCAATCTGTGCCAGTGTTGGAACTCATAGTGAAGAATATTTGCATTACTTCGGTGATGTTGGCTAAAGAGAGCTAGCTGTGCATGTGGAGCTCTTGGGTACAGTATTCAGGCATACTTCATACTTATAGCATACCTTGTCTCTTATCTCCAAAATCTCTATTAGATGTTATATTTAAAATAAGGGCTGCATAAGCTAGGCAAAGAATAATAGATTAGAAAAATAAGCTAAGTTACAGGATGACCTGCAAAGCATAAAATGCAATATCAAACAGCAGTTCTTTCCTTGTGCTCTAGTTCATATTGAGTCATAAATTTAGGAAAAAAAAAAATATACTTGTGCCTGATTTAGAGTATACACAACCCCTGGCACACAGGTCTAGAGCATAAAATCATAGAATAGTCAGGGTTGGAAAGGACCTTAAGATCATCTAGTTCCAACCCCCCTGCCATGGGCAGGGACACCTCACACTAAAATGATGGTACCAGTGTGTTAACTTGCTACTTTTGTAATAAAAACATGGCAGGATTTGAGAGTTATCTGAGAAATACTGTGTGAGAGACAGTCATTCGCTATATTTGTGGAGACAATAGCAGTTCTTGACTAGTTACGGAAGTATATCAGTCTTGGTCACAAGAAATATTGGTCAAAAGTTATCTGAATTGTAACTAAGGTAACTGGAGAGCAGTTTAGAATGATGAGCCCAGGGTTGGGTTTCAGGTGCTACTCTGGTTAAGGGTAAAAAAGAAATTGTGCTGACAACAGTGTAACTCATTCCAGAACAAAGATCTTTTTAAGGCAAAATACATTCAAATTGATATGACAAAGGCAGAATTTTCAAGCGTATCTGTGTGATTCTGCTGAAATTAGTGGAATATACAGACACCAAAGGCAAAAGTGATTTACCTTTGAACCTGAAACCTTTGTACCTTGATGATTAGGTAGTGTATGTTGTTTGGGTCTCGTATTTTTGCAGCTTTCCTTGTAGGTGGCAGAAACTCCATGTACCAAATATTACGATGGTAAAAAAAAAAAAAAGGCAAGGAAACAGTAAAATAACACTACTTCTAAATGCCTCCGCGAATACCAGGAACTCGTCCCAGACATGGCTGAGAAAGAAAAAAGGGTGACTGAATTTGGATTTGTCCAAAACACCTCCTCTTACAGTTTGGAGACAAAAAGGGAATGTTAGAAAAGGGAATGGTCTCAGAAGTGTAGTTCAAGAAAATAATCCATTTCTGAATCACATAAAGCAGATCTTTTTGCTCCTAGTTTAAGTGAACTGTGTGAGTGGAATCATCAGGTTTGACCTGCACTGCTCTTGGCTGCTGTGGTGACGTGATTTGTGCCATTGTTGGCAATAATATGAGATTGAACTACTTGCAGCTCGAAAGTTGTCTGGTTTTCTTCTGCTGTACAGTGATGAATTCTTCTTCCATTATCTTGGGAGTTTTGTTTGTTGGTTGGTTTGGATTGGATTTTGTTTTGTTTTTAAAGGGATGTGGTACATTCACAAAGCAGGACTGGCTGATACTGACACCTCATGACAGTTGCTGGAATCACAGCGTGTAACTCAGGACAGCCGCTTCAATTAGGGATTACACCAAGACTGCCGCACAGCAGTATGTAGTAGTTGTTATGTTGGCAGGTCGCAGACAAATGTAGTATCATGGAATAGCTGACACCTGCAAGGAAGAAGCTGTCATAGCTTTTGAGGCTGTCAGGATCTGTAGTAACCACCTTCTGTAACAAGAGCATTTATCAACATGAAAATGTTATCCTGTAAGAAAGAATTAAAAATAACATACACCATTGCCTAAAAGTATGCATGTGCAAGCCCTCCTGAAACTGAACCACTGGCACCAATGCGCTTGAATGAGATTTACTTTGACCTAGTGATGAAGGAGAAGGGGGTATAATGCTGGTTTGAAATACAGACCAGATTTTTGTGTGTGTGCATTTGATTTTATTTCCCCCCAACTCCTTCTCACGCTGCACCAAATACGTCACAGGGTATATTGTTGTAGACTTGTAAATTGGAAAAGAAGTCAAGGCAGTAGCCTGGAATATTAGGACCTTGCAGACCCGGGCAAGTAGCTCGGAGCGACAGTGTGAGTGTACTCTTGTGTGCTCTAGAGTCTTCCTCACCCAGAATGATCAGGTCTTCTCTAGCTCTCCTTGTTGTTCAGCTGTGATAAGACAGCCTTTATCCACAGCACACGTTTGAACCTTTGGGGACAATTGCTGGAAATTTTGTAGAGGTTACATACATATCTGCTTTCCTGAGATCTGTTGTGATCATTCCAGAGCATTGCAGAATGATGTGATGTTAACACACGCAGATGGTGTGAATCGGAAATAGTCAGAATTGCCAGAAATTCAACTAAAAATAAACATGAAAAAGAAAAAGCCAAACTGGAACAGGTATATGCTAAAACCCCTTTGCGTGACTGGTGAATCTATAGCATAATTCATGTTTCCTTGTAGCTGAGGGATTGCAGAGGGACAGATTTCCACTTGTCCTTACGTTTAATTCTTGTGTGACACCCTTTTTTAACTAGAATAGCCATGTTACCAGTCTGGGACTGATTTGGTGCTACACTGTGTGTATATGCTTGCAACAAGTGGAAAGTAGAAAAGCATAGTAGACTGAGGTGAAGAGGCTCGTTCCCTATTACTCCAGGTTTCTTCTTTCATTAGTTCACTGGTTTGGCGCTTTGCTTGGAATCTTCTTGCAAATTTTAAAGGCCATATAGCAGTTCCATGTTTGTGCCTTGAGGGGCTGCATGCTTCAGCTAAGGTGCTTCTGTAGGAAGTTTATTTGGCACTGTTGGACTGCAGCGTGCTCTCTTCGTAAGGAGGCACTGGTTCTGGAGAGAGCTCACTGTGAGCCTCGTCCATGGAAGTCTTCATGGTGGCCTCCTCGTAGGATGGAGGCAAGCACACAGTGAGGAATGTGGCATCAGGGAGCAGAGTGGAGTAGTGGAAGCTCTGTTCATTGTTCCAGGGCAGCACGGAAAGGAAATTGGACACATCATGCTCAGGCAGGGACTCGGGGAGGTCGATGCTGAAGATCTGTCCCTGTGGAGTGGGGTGCTGGCAACGGCGGTACAGGAAGAGCAGCAGGAATGCCAGGAAGAGCATCATGGTGGCAGGCAATATGATGCACAGAAATGGTTCTATGTCATCTTTGGTTGAGCTTGACTGTTGACTGCTCTGTAATCAAAGCAAATAGGTAGTGTGTGGGATTCCTGGAGACCTCTTAATCAGAGAGAAAATAAAAGATATATTCTCCATCTCCCCTGCAGATGTAGCAGTTGCTTTTCCAAATGACTTTCTGACTGCCTTAGGGATATTCAAGCAATATGTTTTGCAGATTTATAGATTGCTAGATTCTATGTACTGGTCCATAAAACAAATGACAGCTATGACAAAACAAATGGAGAAGTTGTGAAGAGTGGTGGGTTTCCAGGAAACCTTGTCTCCAGTGGGGAAAAAGCCCAACAACCTGGATTTGTATGTATTTTGGTATGAGGTTTTATTACTCCTGGATTATACCAGGACCTGTCCTTTTTGTGGAAGGTTGGTCAAGCTTTTAAAGCTAGGGAGAATAGCCAGTTGCAAAGGAATAGGGCTGGTGATCCACCTCCTAGTGTTTGTTTGCATTTAGAAAACTGTGCTGTTTAAAGAACAAATACTACCACAGCTACTCCTTTCATCAGGACCCACTACAATACCTATTGTTTGGGCTATTCTAACTTTGGAGGCCAGCTCCAGGTACAACACAGTTTGTCAGAACAGCCTGGACTTGGGCTCTTTCTTGAGTTTGTTCTGCCAGCTATGCCAGAATAGTTTTAAAACCGTAGAAAAATAACTTCTGTTTTTATGACTGCTGTGACAGCTTTGTGTCCTGCAAAATGTAGCCACAAAATGTCTCTCCCACAGCTTTTGAATTGTGCCGTAGTGTTAACAGGAATAATATGCTATTTTTAAAAAATAGCATTTGTGCTCTATTGTTGTATTAGCTTCACTTTAAAAATTCAATATAGATAATTTCCAGTCTGACTCTATCTAGCTCTAGCTTATAATAACTGGTTCTCATTTAGAGACTAGTCGAGAGAGTGGGAAAAACCCAAACCCTAAAATTCTGTGTATTATCAACTCATTCCCTTTAAGTACTTGAAGACTGTAATCAGATGGCTTTTTCACATTTTTATGGTGAGACTGAACAGGTCAATGGATCAGATTTCCTTTATTTTGAACAAAGGCAGCTTTGCAAGTGAGGAGAACTCCAGTGGTTCTTTCCTCAAAGCATTTGGAAGCGGGGATGCAAATGGGCTGTTGGCAGTAATGGCTCTGTGAAAAGGGCGGGGAACTCCAACGTCCCCTTCTTGATCTATGAAAACTTTCTCTGCTTATTCTTCCAAGAATCATGGTCATTCCTTTAGCTACAAAATCACATTGTAACCTACGTTCAACTGATTATCTATCAGGCATTTGTTACCTCCTTGCTTTGTTGTCATATCATGAAATTTGTAGTATGTGGTCATGCCTAAGAAAAATGTAGTAAATAGGTTTTGACTTCTAACAAATAGTGCAGTGAAGATATCTGCTTTTTTTTTTTTTTTTCCCTGAGGTATTGTGTGTCTAAAGCCAAACCCATTAAGGTAAGTTTAAAGTACATTGAAACTTTAGTGGGTTGGCTATTAAGCTGTTTTCCCTAGCTGTCTTTTACCACAAAAATGCACACTAAAGAACTATTTCATATTTACTGATCATTTCTTATTAAAGAGTTTCTGGCAGTACAAGCTGTTGTCTTACCTGATCATTAAATGAGCTGCAGGAAACAGCAGAGTTGGAAGAAAATGTTCAGCTATTATTCTAATTCAGATGTTAAATCCTTCTTTTAAAAATTAGGGTATTTTTGGTTTTTAAAGTTTGTTAGCACTTTTTTAGTGTGTCTTTTGAGGTGCATAAGGCACTTCACAGGAAAATGAGAAAATGCATTCACTATTGTGTTTGAGCACTACATATATTGAGGCTCATGGAAGCTGTTATGTTACCAGTACTGTTATAGTAAATATCTGGAATCAACTAAAGAAAGTAAAATCCTCTCCTGTTTAACATCTGGAAGTTTTCAAAGTGAGCATATGAAGTGACTAAGGGAATTATTTGGTGGTGTTCTCTTGACTGGTTTAGTTTTGATGCTGCTGCTACCCTGGAGGTCAGTGTGCTCTGCCTGTGTCATCACAGGCATTATTGTCAGGTTTATAACTGATGAAAATAAGGCTACAGGTCCCAGCATGAAATAAGTTGTAGACACAGAAGTACAGGGACCCTTTATAAAGAAAAAGGCAGACAAAGGCATGAGGGTAAAAGGGGTTATGGTTCTTAAAACTCTTCTTTTTATTCCCCCCAGAACTGATTTTAGTAGGATGGTTTGGCCATTGCAAACATGTATTTATTCACTTTCTTTCATTTATACCTTTGTAGGGACTGAAGCACAGGGTCAGTTTTCCCAAACTGAGCACGCACTAGAAGTAGTAAAGCCTTTCATTAGTAGTCTGTCTGCCTATATTTTTATAACAACATGCTGAGCATGTGCAGTTGCCATCTTACAGATTACATGAATCGTATCAGTTTAGATGAGCTTTTTAACTTGTGCCTGTTGGTAAAGGAATGGAATGCAGAGTGCAGCCGAGTTGTGTGGTATTTCCATGATGAGTAATGGAATGGGTTTAAAATTGAACTCTCTGTCTAGACAAAAGGAGCCTCCTACCTGGATTGGAAGTGAATGACCTAATAAGGCCAAGCATAAGTTTAAAGAGAGCTTTTGTGTAAGGGTAATAAAATTAAAGTTTATTTTGCTGACATTCCCACTGAAGTGATTGTTTGATTGGTGCTAAGATTATGTTAATGATTTCATAGGCTACTTAGAACTTTATTACACTTATTTTTATTAATATAGCCCATATTTATACTAATATCTTTTGAAGCTGAATCAGGAAACCAATACTTCTGAAATGTTTTTAGTGGATTTGGAACAAAGTCTGCTTTGAAGTCATTAGGCTATGGTCTGTGAATAGGTGCTTGCTTCTTAAAGCTGCTTCATTATTGCTTGTAAAAAGAAAAACCTAATAAATCTGGCAAATAGAAAAACATTTTGCTGTGTTTTTGGATATATTAATAATGACATACAATTTTAAAGTGAGCCTAGATTTATACAGAATTCTTAGATACTTGTTAGAATGCAACTCTGCTGTTTGTTTCTCACTGTCAGACAAAACCAGTCCAAAGGTGTGAAGACCTTGCTATTGCTATTCTAACGCTGGCAGTGTTACTGGTGAAGTACACGTGTTTAAAATTGTAGAGGCATTTAAAAACTATTTTTTTCTCCTGCTATGACCCACAGACACATACTCCTACCCTTTTTTATTTTACAACTGGACACTTGATATCCCAGCTATGTAGTGTGGCCAGTTCATTAGCTAATGCTACTTGACTCAGGTATTTACTGGGGTTATATGTGCACCTTAAATTATGATTTCTGATCAGAGAAACCCTTTCACTGTGTCCCAGCCAAAGCCAGAAAGGCAGACTGTGTTTTTATCTCTGAGGGCTACTTCCCTCCCCCTGTTTGCCTGCATGTGATCCTCTCTCACAGAAGTAATCAGTGCACAGCTTAGTGAACAAGAGTTCATTGCTGACTGCTACTGACTTAACATCTGCAGAAAGGCTTCATGGGACCAGATCCAAAGCATAAACATGCATTTAAAAGAAAGGAAATGAAGGAATAGGAGAATGCATTATGCTTAAAAGAAATAATTAAACTTCTTTACCTGCTGCCCCAGCAAGATTTTTCCATCTACCGTTCTTCTTTCCCCACAAATATGTTTAAAGCAGCTTAGCAGCAATAAGTAAATGCTCTATGTAATTAAGCAGTTCTGCTTTGATACATATCAATATCCCCATATTTACTCTATGCTATACACTGAGACATTACGCAGACATACACACACATGCAAAGTCAAAGGACATGCTACAGAGACAAGCAGGGGGTACTGACCTGAAGCTCTGTTTCCAGAAGTGGTCCACCTGGTTCGCTGTTTAGCCAGTCATAGTTTCCCCTGTCAGCATGTCCAAATTTCGTCCAGCTGCTGCCCAAGAGCCACCTCATGCTTTCATTAACCTGGTCTCCTGTCTTCGTGCCTCCACCTTGCTTCACTGCTTGCAACTGCGTCTCCGCCTCCCAGCCTTGATCGAGCTGGGCTGCTCTCAGCTAATGATCCTTCTTAAATGATATCCCATTTATAGTGGAAAAGAAAAAAAGAAGTTAGACACCCCCCCCCCCCCCCCCCCCATCATCGGGAAGCCAAGCAAATAGAGCCTCTCTCCACTTCCAACTCAATCTCTCTGGATTTGCTTCAGTGGCCTACATTACCAGCAAAGCTGGCATCAGGTATCCGAGAGCTGGGGCTGATAGTGCTCTGATTGGAGAGTTCCTGCATTAGGATTATTAAAAGGGGAATTTGCATGTGAATCTGAGTCCACACAGTCATGACTCTGCTCAGATAAATAATGCTCTATATTTAGGTACCTAATAAACACTTTTCCCAACAAAATAAAATAAGTAAACCCCACACCACTATGTCGATAGCAGAGACTCTCCCTCATTTACACAGTGCAAAGAGGAACCATGGTCCAGACAGGTTTTTTCTCCCTATTGCTGGAAGTACAGTAAATAGTGAGAACGGTTTCTGCGTAGAGAGGTAAGGACGTAAGGCTAAATGCTGTGCTGAATTATTTAGCAGTGTTAGCATGTAGATGTTAATGATAAATCTGGAGAGAGAGCTCTGCCAGGAAAGCTTTGGTCACTGAGAGTCTAGGTTTGCTTTCAGTGTTTCCAGCGAGAAGCATGTGTGCTGTTTTATCAGAAAACTTCATTAATGTCTGGTAACCTCTGAAGGGAGGAGTATTTAAGTTGAAAGTTGAATCAAGGTTTAGCATTTGCTGAAAAGGTGGTGGTGTGTTTTTCTGCCTTGCTGTGAGCAGAGGGAGAGGCTAGTGATAATGTCTCATTTGACTGTGGTGAATCTTGCATGGTTTCTCAAGGCTAACCTGTTGAAGCAAAAGTTGTGTTCAGGACTGATGACACAAAACTGGGGTCTGAATTGTAACGTCTTATTTCTTCCTTGGATTTCCTTTCCATAACTCCTGGGCGCATGGCTCCCAGAGAACTGCAGGCTTGATTGACCAGGCAGAACTTTTGCAGCTCCAACAGTGGCAGTCTGATATGCAGGAGCTTGATGTTTCTGATGAGGGGAGTCTGGAAGAGCATCTTCCAGGGCTGGCTGTGACCCCTGTTACTGCAGTGTGCAGGAAGGACCTACCCTGCAGGTGAACCTGGGCTGTGGGAAAGAGAGGGGATGGTTCGATTGATCCATCCCATTTTGTAACTGGAGTTGCCAGATAAGCTGTGGACAGGGAGAATTAACATCAAATGTAGGGTAACTCTTGGTGCTCAAGCAGCTGCATTGTTCGTCAGAAACTGGGCCCTGCTCTTGTTTCTGCTGGGGGAGGTCCTGCATGAAGCTAGAAAGGTCACCTCAGTAAAACCTTTGTGTGCTTGTGAGAAGACTCCTCCTTTCTTCAGTGCCTCACTTGTCATCTTGGAAAGCACTTTCAGAGGTGGTGAGTGCTTACGGCTTCAACCAGAGACCGGAGGAGTTATGCTGTGAATTACAATGTCCCCTGAGACTCCTGGTCCTAAATATGGCTTAACAGGTTGTACCAAGACAATGAAATACTTCTGACTTGATGCCCCAACACCCTGTATAGAAGCAGGAATGAGGACCATCCTTCCCAAACTGGTGTTAAGAAAATAAATTCCTTAGGGAGTCTTGTGACTATGTAGCTTAAATCTGTCATCTCATGTGTAAGCAGGAAATATTCATACATTATCTTAATTAGGGTCTTAATACAGCCCCTAAGATTATTAATGCTACTTTTAAAAGCCTGTTGTAAATTTCCTTTGGGATTGTGTCATGAATAATGAGAAGTAAAAAAATTATGTCATCTTACAGTATAAACACTGTTTTTGACATCCTTGGATTCTAGTTAGATGAATTGCATCCAGAAAATAAGGTGTGTACTTTTAAGACTCACTGACCTGATTTACCAAGTGCTGCTTTGAATTCATGACCTCTGGAAAATGTTTAACAATAATTTGATTTTGTAGAGCTGAGGCCAAATGGGAATTTGGGGAAATGTGGTAGCCTTTGTCATGCAGGTAATTGGAATATAAAATAGTGATTCTCTCTCTGGCTTTTTATATAATTAGTGGACCCAGCAGGAAAACTAGTGAAGGTAATGGCGATACTGACTTTCTGGTGCCAGCCGTTGGACATCCATTTGACATACTGCCTTTATAGGGAAGATCTGTTCTTGTGCAGAACTGAAACAGTACCACTTGAGACTGCATTAGTGATGGCAAATCTGTTGCAGATTTGTAGCAACCCTGTGAGGCGCACGTAATGCTTATTTCTCCTTCTCACGAAGAGCTCATAAATACCACCCATAGCTTGTGCACGCTGGAGTGTGGAAACTGGGGTGAGGAGGAACATCCTTGTTTCCAAGACCCATGGTCAGATGTCAGGCTTGCAGCTTTGAAGAGCCAGGGAAGTTGACCTTTGGAGGTCTTCAGACCTTGACATGGACAAAACTTTTCCTCCTCCCTCCACTGGTTTTGTTCTTTGAAATAGTTTAACAGTTGCCCTATCAAATGATATGGAGAAAATAGCTGGCATGGAATGGTACCACCAAATCGATTAAATTTTGGTAAAGGTTTGTAAAACAATGGCCACAATATGGTTTTAATTGAGGCAGTGTTGCTAATATCGCCTCCAGTGTTACAGGAGGGGAGCAAGGAGAGACTTCTGAGGAAGCTGTTGCAGAAAATAGGCAATTCTACTGTCCTCAGTATGAAGCTCAAACTGCCATAAATAATTAATCTGCCTGATTTGCTGGGATGTTTGAGGCTAGCACTGTAAGTCTAGGCTGTATTGCCACTAATGTTTGTAGGGAACAGTATTTCCACAGTACCCTAGTTGCCTTTCACATTTCTTGCTGCTTTCTTTGCCCAGTTTCTTTTGCTGCTTTCCACAGGTGGTGGAGAACTTTCCCTGCTTCGAGTGCGCTGCTGTGAGGGGGGGTGCGAGGGCTAACCTGAACAGTGCAAAACTAGGAATTACAGTGGGTGAGGTGTTACCACTGTAAATGGTAGTGTGTGGTCAGGTGTAGATTCATCTGATGAAACGGAGGGAGATGCTGACTTCTGCCTATAACCAGCTGCCTGTAATGTTCTGTGTCCTTCAGCTGGAGTAGTGCTGGCTCCTGTCCATTCCTATTCACTTGGGTAATTGAGCAGTTCAGTGATTTGCTCTTCTTTGGTAAATTTTTCATGATATCGAGATTCTGGCTTTGCTTTTTTGTTAAGCACCGATACATTTCTTTTTCAAAATCAAAGCACCTTCTGAAGAGCAATCTCTTCCCCCTTTCAAACTAAAACCACTGTCACTTCAAAGGGTTGCCACAAGTTGGCAAGGGCCCTGCTGCAAACCAGCATTTTGAGGAGCAGCATTTGTGGACAAGCTCTGCATACTCACAGACTGTAGAAATGGAGAGAGAAGATCTGTTTACAAAATGTGTGCATGCTGATGGTACGTACCTTGGCATAGGAGCAGCGGTGGCCAGGGGAGCAGGAGCAGGTACTGCAAAACCTTTGAAGAATGACAGTGCCAGACCTCGCGTCACTGCCAGAGCAGGATTGCCTCCAGCAGAATTTCCCTTAAAGTTTTGTGAGTGTAACCATGCTTGAAAAGTGCAGTTGATGATGTGATTTTTGTTTTGCCTCTAATGACAGCGTTTCAATCTATTCAGCAATTCTTTGTTCAAAAATGTGTAATTTTCTGCTGGAATATTGTGAATCCCTGTATCAGGTCCCTTGAGACTGTATTTAAATACCATGGTCTCTTTGTTAGTACTTGTTGCTAACACAGTAAATTTTAAGCAAAAGCATGATTATGTCTTCGTAGCTTGATTTGCTTCGTATCATTTGGTGCCAAAAACCTACTGGCTCTGGATACTAAAACAATTAGTTTTTCTGCTGCTGTTGCTTAGAACCAGTGTGGCTGAGAGAGCACTGTTTGAGAAAGAATAGCTCTTCTGCCCTCTAAAACTTACTCACTTCTTCACCAGATTGGAAAAAAACAAAAATATTTATTAGTCCTTTGTCATCGCTTTCAGGCCAGGTGCAGCTCCAGAGCAGAAGAACTATAGGCATTATGTACTCTCTTACAGGTTAATATCTCTACTGATTTAGAGAAGCTCTGCTCTCTTTCCCGTCATTAACAATGAATCTCCAAGTCTCTATCTGGCATTGTTAAAATACTTGAAACATTTGAAAGCATGAGGAAATACAGCTTTTGAAATCCATTCTGGCCCCGAAACTTATTTAGCAATAATAGTAAGAATGAGAGAGTCTGAAAATTATCTGTATAAACTAAACCAACTGATGCAGTACATAAGCTTTAGTGGGTTGCAGTTGCCTGTATATGTGTGAGGATAACCAGTGTGACAAACTGAACAAACACACAGCAATGAGGGGACCTTCAGGCTCTGTGAAAGGAGGGTTAAAAAGTTAAACTGCCAGTTCCTTGAGTGGTCTCTTCAACAGCTGAAGGAGAAACCATAAAGAGAAGGCTGCAGTTTTGGAGGGTGAGCTCAGGGTTACCCAGCTCTCACTGACTAGCCTCTAGCTTCTCCTTAACCCCTGCTCATCACTGGTTAGGTGGCTTCCCTGAAGCTGTAGACTGTGTCCATAGGAGAACTGGGGCTGTAAACTGGGAGATGCTTGTTCAGTGTTGCGCTCAGTGCTCACAGAAAGGCCAAGGGAGACATTTGGCCTTTGTCCCTTCAGGACAAGGGAGAAAATTATTCTTGTCTGTGGAGTTCTGAATCCACATAAAACTCACTGAATTGAAGTGTGCATTATTTAACAGAGCATCAGCCGAGAGGCTTTTGGCAATTTTGTGCTGTTTTAATTTAAGTGAACTGGAGCATTTCTTTGCTTGAAATAACACACGTTTTGTGTACTGTTGCGAGTCAGAGTTCAAGTTCGGAAGCTGAACCTCCTGTTGTGAATCTAAAGATTTCTAACTTAGGGAGAAGATGCACAGCCTCCTGCAACCTGCAAAGTTTGCTGTGTAAATGAAATGCATGAAGAAAATCTTTCACATAAAAAAGGCCCCAAATCTGCAGACTTGGCAAGATCTTTATTTTCTCAAGTGCACATGTTCAACTTGTCAGCAAAATGGCAGTCAAGCCTAGATTCGAGGATATGACCCTTGTTGTGTGAGGACAGGTTAGCTAGCCTTAACTGCACAAGGCTTTATCAGCAGAGCTGATGGCATCCATCGACTGCAAAGCTGCCTGAAGGGGCAGAGAAAGGAGAAACTTCTCCCCACCAGTCAGGTAGGAAGAGAAGGGAGTCCCAGGCAGGTGTCCACCTCCTTGAGGTGTCCTCTGGGTGCAGTAGGTGCCCAGAACTCTCTGCTGAGCATGACTGCATTGCTTTCATTGGGAACTTCTCAAAGTCCACTTTAGTTGCTTTTGCTTATGATACTCAGTGTTGATTGCATCACACAATGTGGTGCATGTGCTGTGTGCTGATTAGGTGCTAAGCTTTGTGCATATGTGGTTTTGGGTAATGTCTGTTGACTAAATGAAGAGCCATTACCTTAGTAGGTGCTGAAGTTAAGTTACCTACTAAAAACTGAGAGGGGAATGGTGAAGAGTTCTTACTATAGAGCTATAGACTGGAAATTAAAATGTCAG